TTAGTTATATTTCACTAGGCAACATTTAACACAAATGTTCGCTAGCAGTTGCAAAGTTAAATATATATGTCAAGACGATGTAAGTATTAACGACTGAGTCATGAGTGTTTAAACACGCACACGATTATAAATCACGAAGGTCTTTATTACGATTTGTGATCAGTGGATGAAAAATATGTTCTCACTCAAAGTAAAGCACGCAAACTTGACCTTTTGAAGTTAGAATATCCGTTTTTAGGACATGTCATGGTCACTTTAGATCTAACTGACACAAATAAAAAATCTTTTAGGTCATAACAAAAACACATCAGGTGTTGAAACTTGCCGAAGAGGATTAATCCAGTATTAAATAGACTCTAGTTATTCATCAGTCATAAAAGTAAACCAGCAAATGACACTACGACCTACTTACAGCTTGACTACTGCTCGCGCATGTGATCCAGTAAGAGGAACAAGGTAATATTTCGGTTAATATAAACCACTTTTTTTCTTATGTAACACAGTTCTCAAACAATCTACAATCATATTAGCTTAATTACAATCCGATGCCTTGTAGATCAATAGTCTAGCATTAGCTAATTTTGTCGGCTTAACAATTGTCTCTTCTTGAACGAGTAGTTCTCGTGCAGGTTCCAAGGTTGTCATCGTGCAACCAAATGTCTGTTATGAAAATTTTATATGATTAATAACGTTTAGTCTAAAACGAAAGATTTCTCTTTGTTTGTCTATCCTTTGTTCAACTACTCCTAGGTCGCTGAGCCAATCTCAACCAAACTTTGAGGGATGATAGTTCGGAATAAGGGCCGTGTTAATTGTGGTTCACAACCGCTTCACCACCCATTGTTGCCGTTATTGAGCATTCATTATCTCTGACGCAAGTTAACGTTAACTACATTAATAGATGGCGCCACGTCCTTACACACACAAAAAAAAACTTTATTAAAGTGTGGGAGAAGGGTACACAAAAGCCTTATATATTTCAGAGAGTGCATTAGCACTTTCTATGGAGGAATGCAATGAAAAAAAAATTCCGCCACTATTGCAATAATACATAAACTCAGTTGAAGTTTCTATTCAAATACCCACGGTACGGCTAATATAAAGAGCCGTTTCTTGAGTTACACCCACTTCCAATGTTGACCCGTGACGTCAACTTCGACTCGTAAGACACTTCTGCGGCCAATGACCGTCAATTAATTAATCACATGACACACCGTGGAAGGACATTATAAACTGGGTGTTTAAAGCACCCCTACCGCCACCACTTTAGGCGCTACCTCTTCCTACAAAGTAACCCTGAACATCGCACAGTATACACTATGTTTTAAGTATATACATATCGAGTTCTTAAAGTTTATACAAAACTTTTGGTGAGGTAATAATGAATGCTGTAATAACATGCTATGTTTTAAATAAATTGCGAGAAAGTTAGGATTTTGTGTTATTTATACAAAATATGACACATAAAAAATAGAATAAAATATAAAATATTCATTCATACATCTACAAACAAGCATAAACGTTTTAGTGAGGTTAGTCAGCATCTTCAGGTCAGGGCTCATACTGCTGTAATAAATAATTGAAATTTTAAGCTCGTGACTCTATTTAAAGCGGGCTTACGTTGCTAAAAACCGGGCTGCGATACCCGTAGTGGGCAGAGTACTTGTAGCCCATTGTACATCTTTGTGCTTAACTACAAACAATAAACTCTATAAAGGAGTTATAAAATTAGAGAAACTATCTGTTGAAACAACTGAAACCCATTATTAACAAATACCCAAGCGTCATATTCCACATTTTTAGACCGTTTCAAACAGAGTGAGCTATTTAACGTTTCTGCTATTTATACCCTTACAGCAACATGCATGTTGTCCTGAAGATGCCACAGTAGATCCACTGAAACTTTGACGCTTACATATATATATGTGCTTTCGTTTTCATCCTATTTTTAGCTGTTTTACATTTTAATATATCACAAATTAAAAAAAACTCCAAATGGGCAATATAATATGCCTCTTTCTTTTTTATCGTGACCGAACAGATTAAGAGGTGTTATAGAAACATTATACCACAGAAACAAAGAATTTTGAAATTTGTGATTGATGCTGTTGATATTAAAACTGCCAGGAATCGAAACTTAAGAAACTTATTATTGTAAGCAAATTCTTTGCATATTTTTGTTGTGCGTAAATATTTGTAAGTCTTCATGATACAGAGTATAGCGCCCTATCTGAAGCCCAGAAGTAAACGATCTGAATCTGTTCGACTTGCTTTCGAGTATCAACTGAGCAAGAACTTTATATCACATCAAGTACCTTGAAGGGTCCCTGTTTTTCTTTTTTGTCTTTGTTTTTTGTTTCTGGGAAAACAAATTTTCCTATTTCTATGAACTTATGTTTGTTTTTGAGACTGTTTCCAAACGTGCTTGTCAAATATGAGCTTAATCTGAATCGTATTTCTTATGTGACTCTTTCGTATGAGATCCCGAAATGTCTTCTTTTATATAAGAAAATACAAAAATTATACAATTAAAGTAGCCTATTGATTCCTGAAAATAGTGATTGTATAGAGCAATATCTATAGTCTAGGTGGAATCTTTTAAGGCATGTTGGTATGACATATTTCAGACCTAATGGGTAATATAGCGTCGGTTGCTTCATTTTCCTCTTATTTTTTTGACAACTTTATAGTGAAGGTTATTTTATGGACGAAATACAAAGGTTGTGTCTAAAAGAAGAAGAAATAATAACTTTTTCCTTATCTAATTATTTTACTAATTAGCTTGACATTTCTTAGCTTTGAGCTACTCTTTAGAATTTGGTAACTCTATTCGAGATAATGATTTATTGCCACACAAATTTGGCTCGAGCCCAGAAGAATGCTAAATTAGGATATCCTTACGACAAAACTTATCTTCAATCCACTCATAAGACAATTCCATCGTTACTTTATTGAGTTACAAAGAGGTACGCATATATTATTAATTAACTTTAATCTATACAAAACAGAATCACTTAAAATGATCAAGAATGAAAGGTTTATGGATGGCACAACATTCCTTTCTCTTAATCGATAGTTTGTGTTACTTTACATATGCCTCTTCTAGGCACTCGTTAAAATGGTCAATCGCAAATAAATCAACCAAACTAACTTTACTGTAAAATAATTAAATGGTATTTTGAATATCTCAAGAAACCTTCTTTAATTTTAAGTAATGGAAATGACATTCCATTTTTTTTTACAAAATGAACTCTAAAAGGATTTTTTATATAGCCTCTAAAACCCATAACAATGATCTAGAATATAAATAAGAATAGTCTCTTTCTCTCAAGAAGCTCAAAACCGTATACCTTTCCTGACTGCCTCGGGGTGTGGAGAGTAAGTGGAAACTTCCACACAAAAAGTCTAATTGCTGATGACAAAATTCCACAAATAGTCCTCGTTTCGTATCAGTTTGTTTTTGTTTGTTTTTTTTTAATTTCGCGCAAAGCTACACGAGGGCTATCTACGCTAGCCGTCACTAATTTAGCAGTGTAAGACTTTTTGACGAAAACATCTAGCCGTTTAATTCATGGCGAATAAGGTGCTATTCATTCTAAAAATTCCAAATTATACATGCATTTTTGTGTACAATGTGCCTGGCATGGTCTGGTGGTTAGGGAATTCGAGTTGCAATCTTCAGGTGGCGGGTTCGAATCCCCGTCGCCTAACATACTCACCCTTTCATCCGTAGGAGCATTATAATGTGGCGGTCAATAGGTAGCCCAAAAGTGGGTGGTGGTGATTAGCTGCCTTCCCTCTAGTCTATCAATGCTAAATCGGGGACAGCTAGCGAAAATAGCCCTCGTGTAGCTTTGCGTGAAATTTAAACCAAAATTACGGTTGTAATTCGTTCTTCTTATAATTAAGTAATTAATTGATATTATTATTTTTGTATCATAGGAATGATAAAGATATTTTGGTAACTTAGAATGATAAAAATCTACTTTTGATTTGTGATATTAGATAAAATCAAGTTAACACTTCCCGAAATTATCTTGACGAATTAATTTATTGTTGGTTGTACCGGAGATCTAAATTTCAACTTTTTTTTTTCTTTTGATGTTGTTCATAGTAATGACCAGCTTACACACTGGATGAACCGCGACAAAGAAACAAGCTTACAGGAAGATTACTCCTGAAAATGGATCACATATATAGAAATTAATCTAACTCCGAAAAACAAACTTTGCCTCAAGCTTGTTTGTTTTTCAATTTCGCGCAAAGCTACACGAGGGTTATCTGCGCTAGCCGTCTCTAATTTAGCAGTGTAAGACTAGAGGGAAGGCAGCTAGTCCTCACCACCCACCGTCAACTCTTGGGCTACTCTTTTACCAACGAATAGTGGGATTAACCTTCACTTTATAACGCCCCCACGGCGAGCATGTTTGGTGGGACGGGAATTCGAGCCCGCGACCCTCAGATTGCGAGTCGAGCGCCCTAACCACTTTCCCAAATAACTGGGGATAATGGAGGAGCTTGATCGGTACATTGGAGCCTCTGTGAATCATGAAAGGTTCTTTAAACCCAGCAGCAGTTGCTATTTTATGCTAGTATTCATATCGTACTTTTGTTTCTCGTCTTCAGTTTAGCCTCCTTGTCCGGAAAACAAAAATGCACATTGGCTAAACTCCCATCATGCCCATTCTTGAAAGAAATACAATACAAAATGATGAAGACGTTACCAAACTGAAGACAGTTAGATAACAAATGAAGTTAAACTGGTTTTTTCAAAAGTTATTTGCTGACGTAGTTAAACTGGCCGTTCCACAAGTACTCTTACATAACTACTTTCCCTTCATTCTCTACTTCAGGTGTATATAAGGTAATCGTGTTGTAATTCCATGACGTTATAGCCAATGTAAGTCGAGTGAGCCGATTTCATCTATAGTGTTACATTATAGTTAAAAATAAGGAGCCTGATATATTTTGGAACTTTTCGCAGAGGTTTTGGTCGTTCATCTAGTCTGCAGGTTTTTTAGCACTTCCTTAGAGTCATTAAAGATTACTTCGAACATAGCACAGCAAGTATATGACGATAATTAGTAAGTATATGACGATAATTAGTAACTATATAACGATAATTAGCAAGTATATGACGACAATTAGTTAGTATATGACGATAATTAGTAAGTATATGACGATAATTAGTAACTATATGACGATAATTAGTAACTATATGACGATAATTAGCAAATATATGACGATAATTAGTAAGTATATGACGATAATTAGTAACTATATAACGATAATTAGCAAGTATATGACGATAATTAGCAAGTATATGACGATAATTAGTTAGTATATGACGATAATTAGTAACTATATGACGATAATTAGCAAGTATATGACGATAATTAGTAACTATATGACGATAATTAGCAAATATATGACGATAATTAGTAACTATATGACGATAATTAGCAAGTATATGACGATAATTAGTAACTACATGACGATAATTAGCAAGTGTATGACGATAATTAGTAAGTATATGACAATAATTAGTAACTATATGTTTTATAAGTTAGTAGTTCTTGTTCTCCTTTTGTTCTTTTTTTAACGCAAAGCTACACGATGGGCTACCTGCGTTGGGTCCACCACGGGGAATCTAATACTGGATTTTAGCTTTGTAATTCCTGACCTACTGGGGGGACTATAAGTTAGCAACATTTGATGTTTGATTGATAATTTATGTGCTACTTAAACCATTAAAATAACACTGACTTGGGGAAAAAAGCAGAAGAAAACGTATGTTATTTTTTCTCGTTGAATGGTTTTGTTTTGCACACTTATCTAAGTCGGTACATTCAGTCAGTTTACGTATGTTATTTTTTCTCGTTGAATGGTTTTATTTTGCACACTTATCTAAGTCGGTGCATTCAGTCAGTTTACGTATGTTATTTTTTCTCGTTGAATGGTTTTGTTTTGCACACTTATCTAAGTCGGTGCATTCAGTCAGTTTACGTATGTTATTTTTTCTCGTTGAATGGTTTTGTTTTGCACACTTATCTAAGTCGGTACATTCAGTCAGTTTACGTATGTCATTTTTCTTTTACATAAACGAAGTTACTTACTCTTTTAAATTGTCTAGTCCATTCTCAATCAAATCGAGTAAAAACAGTTTGTCTTTGTTTAGAAGACACAATCATTTTAAGAGACCAACCAGAATATGGTAGATATTTGCCCTTTTAACTTCTACCATAGTTTTGGTTTCTATTTATTTACTTATAAAACACAATATTTCATGTAAGTTATGGAAATATACATATTGATATATATATATATGTTTTAGTTGGAAAAAAATGAATTAACAACATAAAATGCTACACGTATATAAACGGGGCCACACATAACTATTGGTCAGCCTGTCGGACTACGGATTTCCATGTCCAAACTTCGAACTTGAAATATACTGCTGAGCATGCTCCGCACTTTCAGCTGTGGGTTCAGTTATAAAAGTAAGAACCATTTCCACTATTCAGCTGAAAGTACTCCTCCGCTGGTCAATAAAACCATAGTGGTCAAATGACAATATATATATATATATATATATAACTGTTTCGTTTTGATTCAGTTGTTTGAAATTTAGAAAAAAATTAAAATGTGTTATTTAATTAGACTCCCCTTTCTTCAGATGCAAAAAAAAGTATTAATTCAAAGACTACGATAATATCTTTGAGAAGTATATTAAGGATACCAGAGATGTATATTAAAATCCATCTTACCAAATGAACGGTTAAAGAGGCTGAACAAACGGTATATACTTACATGCAACAATATAAAAAATAATATAGTACACACACACATAATAAAAGAGTAATTTTTCAGCTCATCCAGTTCCCTATACATTTTTGATGTTTTTTAGTTCGCAGTTATAAAACAAAGTGTTAAAAGTAATTTAAGTAAGTTCTCTAAAAGAAATGTTTTAGAAGTCACAACTTTAATAGCGTTAATTGATTTCTGATTGAAGAAGACAGCTTTATAATACATCTCTAGACTTCAGAGCTGGCAAGCCGGGTTCTAATCCATCTAGTAGATGGCCTTATTAGCTATGACATGAATACAAATTTATTTTTTGCAGAAGAGATTTTATGTTGGTATGCCAGCCATCGAAAATATTAAACGATCACATGATAAGTAATTTAATAACTATTCAGCCAAATAAATTCGAAATTTATTTATTTCCTATGTCTTGTCAAGAACACCAGGGTTAGGTAATAATAATAAGACAAGAAAAAGAAAATTAAAACTTTCATACATGGATACGTTCTTCATTCCAGTTGTCGTATCCATATAACCTTAGTAACTTTGCTGTAAATATAAATACAAATTTATTTATATCTTTTACTGCGATGTTGTTGTATTTATCACATTATAGCGGGTTATATATAGCCCTTCTTTTGTGTAACAGAGTGACAAAAAACACTTTGGATGTCTTATAGATTATGACTGACTGTATTTCCGTGTAACACTGTAGAAAAACGTTAAATTATGAGTTCAAATTCACATGTTAATTAAGGCCTCTCACAAAAACCCGCCAAGAATTTCTACATAAATATGTTATACATATTTCATACGTCATTTATTAATATTAAAGCCAAGATTCTTGGATTTAATGAATGTTCCAACGAGACTTTGATATTATGACTAAGCAGAAAACTGGCGAATGTACAACATAACTTTTGTGACATATTATTTATAAAACTAATATATTTTTTTTCTATTGTCGTGTAATATAAATAACGCATGTTTGCTTTGAATGTATGACACGATAGAGTGATATTTGGCTAGAAGCGCCTCTTGTGACGAAACTCAGTTTTTCCTCCTTCATTAACTTTTCACACGGCTGGAACAGTAAACTTCATGTTGTTATTTTTAGAATGTTGGTGTGAAGTTACTGCAATGAATTTCTTGGTATCAAACAACAACGTGTGCAGTAACATGAAAATTAATAATATAATTCAAATATTAATAGCACGGTGACATTGAGATCAAATTTATGTACTGAAGCGAAGATACAGGAAATGGAATATTGATATTATAAAGTAGGTTTGGTTCGTAATTAAGTTTGTTTGTTTGTTGAAGCTACTCGACAGCCAGCTGCGTTAGCCACTTCTACTTTTAAAGAGATAGAATAGAGAGAAGGTAATTACTTAACATCCACCGTCAACTCTTGAGTTACCTTTTAGTGAGTGAGATTTACCATCGCATTATAATGCCTCTTCGACTGAAAGTGTGAGATCATAGATTGCGAGTCAAGCACCCTAACCACCAGGCCATGCCAGGTCTCCTTCGTCAAGATCCATAAATACAGTAAAGAGTGACTCTAAGTTTCAAATTCGTTTAAAAAAAGACGAAAATAATAAACTAAGGATATAAAAATCCAAAGAAGTATAGATAAAACTAAAAATAAATCATGTGTTTAGTCGTCAAGATCCATAAATACAGTAAAGAGTGACTCTAAGTTTCAAATTCACTAAAAAAAGACGAAAATAATAAACTAAGGATATACTAATCCAAAGAAGTATAGATAAAACTGAAAATAAATCATGTGTTTAGTCGTCAAGATCCATAAATACAGTAAAGAGTGACTCTAAGTTTCAAATTAGCTGAAAAAAAGAAAACGAAAATAATAAACTAAAGATATACAAATCCAAAGAAGTTTAGATAAAACTAAGAATAAATCACGTTCTGGATAATCGATATTATCTTTTTTTTTATTTTATCCCCTGGTGGGATAGCGGTAGGTTTATGGACTCACAACAACTCTAAAATCTGGGTTCAATTCCCCGCGGTGGATACAGCAGATAGCCTAATGTGGCTTTGCTCTAAAATAATCGATCAATCAACTCTTTTATTTCTGTTCCCAAGATTTCAAAAAAAAATGTTCATACTTAAACGTTTTGGCGCACGTGTTAACGTAGCACGTACGGATAGTTGGATTTTAACTGCGTTCACTTTCTTCTTGAGCAAATTACAGATTGTCATAGTTGAGTTTTCTTGATATTTCTATGCCTTCCAGTGGTTAGCATTTGTCCAAATATTTCGTTGTTTTTGTTTTCTTCTGACCACGTCTATCGTTGAAAGGTGTCGAGGTATAGTATATTCTATCTTCCCCATTTGTTTTAACGGGAATGGACAACAGTGCACTCTGGGATAGTTGGCCATATCCATATTTACATGTATAGGTTGATTCTTTCAAACTACAAGAAAGATCTTTCTCAGCACTCTAAATAGAAAGAAGTTCAACAAATATTCGTTTCATGCACACATTTATTGACTGACTTTAAGTTGTTTTCACAACCTGTCTTGTGCTAGTTAGACATTATTATCTGTATTATTGTTATTATTATGTAATGTCACCCGAAAACTACTGATCGTTAGCATAAAACAATATATACCATAACAAGTTTATAATGTAAATGACCGATATATACATATTGTTTCGACTGAGGCTTCGGGTGTTGCATTCTTAGCCGACCTAACGAGCTCTGGTATAAGGCGAAAGGCCTCATCGGCAGTGGCTTTGCGGCGCACAAAATGTGCGGTCGAGATCTTATTAGGTTTCTTCTTACTGCAAACCTGTAGTATAGGGCCAGTAAAGAAATATTTTTAATGATCATTCTCAGTTTATTGTGATGTTATATTAGAACAAGCAATGATATATTAATCTGGCCATAGTAGTATAGTATAGTACTAATACTACCTGTAGTATTGTATAGTTATTGTGATGTTATATTGGAACAAGCAATGATATATTAATCATTGTCAATTTCGTTATGCTTCTATCAAATTTATTAGTGAAACAAATTAATACATGATTCTTTTATACAGGGAGAAAACAAGCCTTTTTAATAACGAACATTAACAATTGTTTGCTAATAATTTAAATGTTAAATTCGGTAATTGTCTGTTGATTTACTGAGGTTTGAGCCCAAAGCTTCTTTACATTAATCAGTTATCGTTTGGTTTATTTTGGGGGAAAAAAACGTCAAAATTTTATAGTCTGCTACTGAAAACACTTCTCAACATTTTTTTTTTT